CCGGGCGGGCTGCGGCCCGGCTGGGCGGTGCCTGAGGCGCAGGGACCTGCCCGCTTTGTGCCGCTGGCGGTACCAGCTCCGGCTGGGTACGCGAGGCTGTTCTGGCATAAGCGCAGTTCGCCGGAGAAGTCGAGCCATATCGGTGTCGTTTGGTTTTGACAGCACGGGGTTACACGTAACTCTCGTGAGCGCTGTTTGTGAACTCGTAGGGGACTGCTCGTAAGACCTTTCTCCTGCCAGAAGCTCTCTGGTGGGGCAAAGAGCTCGTTTAGGAATGTTAGTCTAACATTTCTACTGTGAAATGTTAAAGAATTGGCGTTTGTGACTTAGTTAAAATTGTTAAGGCGAGTTTTTCTTTCAAGGTGCAGTGGATATCAACAAAAGGTTTGTGGTTAACTAGACTTAGCTCCAGCTTCCTGCAGTTGACAGTAGTTAACTGTTTAATTTTTTTTTTAAATAGACTTCTAGTTCTCCATTAGCATAATACAGTTTGATACTTGATTAGTGCAACTGGAGCAATGACTCCTTTTTTTTTTTTTCCTGAATTTCCTCCTGTTAAGAGTTACTCTTTAATTCCCTTCAAGCCTGGATCCGCTGACTTGGTGCTCTAGTTGCAGCCTTGCTTTTACTCACATAGAAAGCACTGTGAGCCTGAAACAATTTGTTGGACTGGAAATCTTCAGGTGGGACTGCTGCAGGCACTTCAGAAAGATCCCAGTTCATCCCCCAGCAAATGGATGGGAGTTCATCCGTCAGACTGTGCTTGTGTATGCTGCGCTGTCTCAGCGCCGCTTGGAAACCTGCATGTTCTGCTTTGCCCCCCTCACCCCAATCGATGACCAGCAGGATGGACTCCCATCCAGCCTGCAGCATTGTCCTCACAGGCTGGAAGTAGCTGTCAGGAAGTGGGTAGAGCCTGAAAAATGAAATTGGTGACCACTGTGCAGAAAAGAGTTTAAAGTATACTAAAATACAGTGTTTTATCTTAAAAGTACTGGTCTTCTGTGATCAGTTACCTATTTGGGGCTCCTCTTGAGGGCTTCTGCACAGGAGTGTTGATAGCGCTCTGTATAAAAAACAAGCAGCACGCTTGGCCTTAGTACTGCAAAAACTTAAAACACGTGACATTTTAGTCAGGTGAGGAGTCTCAGCAAAGCCAGCATGCCTGACTTTGTTCATGTCAAGTTTAGTTGTTACATTTTCCTTCCTGAATAAGTCTGCACACGGTTTTAGTTGCTCTTCTCTTGAAATACCATCAGTTATGATTTTCCAGATAGGATATTCTAATTCCTAAAGAAGGTGATGTTCATTCTAGTAGTTTTTTTTACAGCTGTGGCTTCTTAATGCTGTGTTATTTCAAGGTGTGCAGCCTGCTCTGCTATTTTTTATAACCTCTTGAACTGGCTTCCCTGTCAAGTACAGAGGTCGCCTTGGCTAGTACATGCTTTTTGTAAGAGGACTCACAGAGTCTTCCTCCATCTTCCCTCCTTCCGGCACTGAGGTGTTGTTGTAATAGACAAATTATAATATGTTTACAATAAATTTAAGAAATTACTTCCCTTCCTTTTATTCCACATAGGTTTGTCTTAATAAATATCGACTGCATGGTTGGGGTTGACCACCCAAAAATGTTTTTGGTTTATTGTAAAGTCTTCAAATACATCATTTTGAAAAGAGGCTGTGCTGTACTGTATCTCATTTTTCCTGTTCTGGCTCTGCTGTCTCCTGTTGGTATGTAATATAATAATGTTTTTGAATCTTCACTAAAACTGCTGAGAGTCAAGAATTTGCTTTTTGTTTATAATCTCTTTCAGTGGAGAAACAAGATACAACAAAGACAAGATACTGCAAGGTTAGTATCAGTTATTCTACTAGCTTGTTAGAGATGGAAAATTGTGGACTTGGTAAGGAGCTGCAGCAGGATGGATGAAGGTCATGTTGTAAAGGAGACTATTGCCTTAGGAAGGTAATCTCTCGCTTGCAAAAAAAGCCTACAGTAGAGCAAGGAAGAATGAAAAGTAAAGATTGTTTAAATCGCTGAATTTTTGTTCAATCCCAGCTCTTTCTAGGAAGGCAATCTTTAGGCAAAAAATTTAAACCCAGGCTTCTCCTTAGTGACTGCTGACTTGTACACCCAGAACTGAAAACGCTGAGCTGCTTGGATGTCTTTTGTAGGAAAACCAAGGCTCACCACTACAAGAAACCTAGCGGGGTTGTAGTCTGAATAAATAAACTTTATACAATGCTACGTGCTGTGAGGAAGAATCGTGCTTCTAGATTTTCCTACCTCTGTTTTGACATTGCAGTTTACAGTTCTTGCAACACGGCTTTGTGCTCATAATAAAGTGAATAAACAATACTCCCCTGCCTTATGTTCTTTTAAATTCCTAGCCCTCTGGCAGATGACATGTAGTAGGTTCTTCTCCGCCTCCCTGGCCACCGTGTAAAAAGTGAACGTTGCCAACTCTTTCAGAAGCATGTGTGCCTTGTGTTTTGAGAGGTGTAAGACCTACACCAGCATGGTGTGCATGGTACAAGCTCTCACATGGCTGAATTATGGACAAGGTTCTCAGAACTCAAGTTCTGGACTTCCTGGTGTCCTGTCTTTTGCTATTGGAAGCATATAAATTATTGTGCATTTGCTCTGGATCTGATGAGAATTGCATGCTCTCTGCTTTGACTTCCTACAAAAGTAAAATAGCTGATACAAGTGTGGACATAGCAATTTGTCACAGGCTTGTCCCTCTGCCATAGTTCTCGGTTCTCCTACTGACTCTGAGCTGTGACAGGAGCACACCTATTTCATTCAAGTTGAATTACCAAAGTGCTGGTTCTCCCAACGCTGTCCTAGAGCTCTGTGGCCAGTTAGTTTCACAGACTACTCTGGCTGAAAACAATTTTTGGAAAGGTTGCTGCTTTTCAGCTAGGTTTGTTCCATCAACATGCTCGCTGTGCAGCTGCCTGAGCTGCTAGTGTCCATGTGTGAGGTGGAGTAGGGGAGAGGAAGAGACCATAACAGATTGTGTTTACGTCAACTGTAAAATTATTGTGAAACTGTGTCTTTGGCAAAAGAGTGTGTCCTGTTTTCCGCATTACACAGAATCCCTTCTTGTTGCCTCATTTCTTCAAGGCGTTGTCAACGTAAGGGAATGGGGAGGAGCAGGCATTTCATAGTTTTCAGGACTTGACTTTCCGAATGTGCACATTTTTTCCATGTATGTATTTTAGTATCAACAACAGTATCTCAATTGTATTGTCTTTTTGCTTATTTACGATCAACAAATCTGTTTATAGAGTTTCAGTTTCAGTTGTGCGATTCCCCTTGCAGGAAGCCTAACTGACCATTCTAAAAAAGACAAGTGATTTGAAATGACTACTCACAATTAGAAGATGTAGGCCTCTGTTCTATGTTTAAGTTTGTCGTATGTATACATCGGTATAAATATCATCAATAATGATCCTTCTGTCTTGCTAGCCTGTACTCCCTTTTTTCATACAATTTGTGTGACTGAGTTTAGGGAAGACCAGAGGTACAGTGACTTTTACTAAGGGTTGGCTTTACTGTGAGAGAAGCACTTTATTATGACTGAGCAGCTTCTTTGTTGCTGCCATGGTTGTTCAGCTGCTAAATGATCAAAAATTTGCATGTCTTAATGTTGATGGGTTTTTATTTTGTAGGTCAAGGAGTGGATGAGCCGCTCTCTGCAACTGGTTTCAGACAAGCAGATGCTGCTGGTTTATTTCTCAGTAATGTGAAGTTTACACATGTCTTTTCAAGTGACCTCCTTCGAGCAAAGCAGGCAAGTGCTTCTTGAGGCAACTGAATGTAAATATTAGCTTCAGAATTTGGCATTTATTTGCTGTTGGTGATGCAAAAAATAATACAGTAACGGAGAGCCAAAAGCTGTTTTGATGGACTTAGAACTGGAGTTTGAATTGTGTAAATTCAAGAAGATCTCTATGAATAAGGAACTTTCAATGAAAACAGCTCAGTTAGGAAGTGATGAAGGCCAGCTTGCTTTGCAGGGTGTCAGGCAGTGGTGTTCTTAGGGATTTGGCATTATTTTGTACGTGCATAGGTTCTTGCTATAGGAATAATTGGGACTCAGAAGTAACACGGACTGAAGTCAGTTTTTCTTTGAAGAAACAAAACAAATTGGCTGTGATATTATTGTACTGTCTTATGCATTGTGGTAATATGCTGTGTTTTTCTGAGGAACGCAGACCAGCATAGGCGAGATCAAGTTTTGCTGTAAAGTAAGTACAAGGATCATTAAATGTGCAGAGAGGTTGGATTTTGGCAGGAACATAATAGCACACCTTGATGCACTATTTTAATAGGTAATTAAAGAGGAAAAACAAGTTAATTACTGAGTGGGATTACATGTGATTTTGTGTACAACATTACAAAATACTGAAAAATTAGGGAAACAACTTTTAAAGGTAGAGGCATAGATCAGCTGTTCTAGAAAGGTCATGTCTCCTGTGGAAGTCCTGTCCTTAGTTCTCTCTTCTGTTACCGATGCTGTGATTTCAGGAGACATGTAGGCTTCACACGATTGGAACTACTAAGTGATTCTTGATAGCCCTGGTGGTTGCTTGCTTTTTGACTTTTTGTCCTGCTACAAAAGTCTGTGGAGTCTTGCTGTAAACTAGATCAACAAAATTAGCATAAATCCCCTTTTTTTTCTTAAAACATAAGTCATCGACATTGCTCGTCAGTTTTGCGTCACAGTCCCATAAACTGTTTTAGCAGCACCACTTAGGCAGAAAACAAACTAGGGAGGGAGGGAGGAGCACAGGGAGGGAGGAGTGCAATAATTAAATTTTTTTAAAACGCATAGTAACTGCCTGAGAAGTCTCCTCCTTTAAGTGTGTGGATGGTGGTGATTACATTTGATAACATTAATAGTGCTTTATAATGTTCCTTAAGACTGTCTGTGCTATGTGCTTGCCTTAGGGGAATTGGTTTTGAATGCTCAGCCACTTGAGAGTGAGATTGGCAATTTTTTTCCTTATAGTAGAGAGAGCCTTTTCCACGAGAAGCTCTTGCACTCTCATAATGTAGAAGACAGACGTGAATTTGTCCTTTGCGTAAAGGACGTGTGTTTTGACATTTGCTTGACAAGCTATCCAGACTTTGCGGAAGCTTTTCCGAAGATGTGTAAAGCTGCAGTTTCCATTTGCTTGGAACTCCCTTTTTTGGCAGCTGCAAATCTATGAAGAAGTGTCTTTTACTATGCTGTCACTTCATAGCTCAAGGTATGAGAGGAATGTACAAGGGGCGGGGGGGAGGAAAAGGTCTTTAAAGAAACTGTTGGTGATGAAGTTTATTTTTCTTTGCAACGTCTCCTGCATCAGCTGCAGTGAGGGTGTGTACTGGTTACTGGAACCTAGAGGGGTACGCAGTCCTCCGGCTGCTCCCCATGGCTGACGGCTGAATGTTCACGCCTGAGCAGGATAGGAGAAAACAAGGGTGTGTGCAGAGACAGTCATACTAGCTGGGCAGGAATTCTGAGAGCGAAAAGAGATGCAAAGTGGGCAGGTGTAGGAAATGCAGAGAGACACGTTGCAGGGAAGCCTGTTTGAGAGAATAAGCCTAGGAGGGAGGGTCAAAGACGAGCTCCAGAAATTAGCAACGTAGAAGAGAGCAGGCAGACCTCTGATGTTGGGCAGGCTGGATGTGGCGTGAACAGCACATAACTCCGTGAGACTTGTTGGCTTAACAGAGCGTAACACCAAAGTCTGCAGGGGAATATGGGGCCTACTGTGGGATGCTCATGCCGTCGGGAGAACTCCGCAGTAGTGAAGGTAGGTTCAGGATTGGGACAGGCTGGGCCCTGAGAAGAGAGAATCTTTTTTCGCAGTATAAAATGTGACTAATATCCCTTCTCTCACTGAGGTACTGTGAAGATTCAGTAGCATTTCTGAAGCATGCTGGCACTCTAGTAATGGATGGTGTAGGAAAGGTGTGAGAAAGTTAATCTCTCTCTCTCTGAGCGTATTTTGGTTCCAGCACAGTAAATGAGGAGTCATTTTTAATATCTACAGTTCAGAGTATGAACTAGTGCTCAGTAGGTGAATGTTGACTATTCTATGTATTGAACAAGATCTTGGTAACTATGCTATTCGTATATACAAGGAGATTGGCTCAACCCTATCTGAATTTTTACATTATTCTATTACAGGTATTTTAAGTTGCAACATAAAGCCTTTCCTAAGCAATACATTAAATAGTTCCTAAAATCTTGTTAGTACAAGAAGGCTGCTTATTATTTGGCAGAATCTGAGGAGCCTTTTCAAAACAAGTTCTTTGAATGCCAGTTTGACTGGATGTGGACATTTGCACAAGACTTGCAGCTGATACTACCAGGCTCAACTGTATTCAAATCACACTTCGGTGCATGTAAGAACAGGAGCAAGTTTAGCTGTCCTTTAGTTCCCACTATTGGATGTGGCAGGCAGACAGCTGTATAATATCCAACATGCTAGATCCTGTATTAGACAATACTTTTTCCAAAGTGGTATCAGAATTTCCTCTTGATCAGTTGTTTTGCCCTCCCTGCACCCCCAAAATCACATGCTTCCTTGGAAGAAAGAAGATAAATAGCACAAAACTCAAGACGTCCAGACTATTGTTAAAGTCAAACTAAGCCCTTTGTGTTTTCTCTCACTTGGCCATGCTATCAAAACGCAGGTGAATACAATAAGATTTTTTTCTCCTGAGTGTATCATCTAGTGCATTTCTCCCTGATAACGTTGAGGCTGACACTTCAGTATGTTGCCAGCAAACACCCTCCTGCCTCTTAACTGTTTCAATAGTATTTGATTTCTGAGGTGCACTTGCCAGAAAGTAATTTAATTTTTAGATGCTGTGTTTTTTTGCAGTCGGTTTAACTGATCAGTTTTTAGGAACGTACTGCTTGTATATTACATGTAAAGAATGTGCCAGCATGATTGCTTTGTGAGTAGCAGTAGACTCGAGAGAAGATGCGGCTTTTATCCCAGGAAATCCTGCTGCAGCTGTGTGTCTTGCTGCCCGCCTTTCATGGGTACTAAGTGTCTTCAACTGTTCTGGACTTTGAATTGTGAAAGTACTTTCAGAAGATCAGAGCTTTTCTACCTTTTATGGCCTGACACAGGCCACTTAACCAATTCTACCAGAAAAAATTGTATCTACCTTGTTTGTTTGGATTGGTGGGTACTACCGAGGTGATTCACATTGGCTGTGGTATTGTAACGTGGTCTAGCTATCCCATGAGAAAACAGCCCTTTGATGTGACTTTGTATTCACTTTTTAGACTGCTGCCACAATTCTAGGAAAAAATAAGTTTTGCAAAGATTTGGAAATCAAGTATGATGCAAGACTTCGAGAGAGAGTAAGTGCCAAAAGAGTTTGTTTTAATACTGAACGCTGAACAACTTGAAAATGTAACTTACTGCTGATGGATACCTTGGCTTATTAAATGGTAGACTTAACAGTGGAGAGTGCTATTTGATGTGTTTCTAATCGTTGAAAACTGGACTGTTCACATCAGGTACTCTAAATTGTTTGCCTGACTGCAGAATTGTGAAGCAAAGCCAAAAGTCAGTGATTAGTGCTGTAACTGGTGCTCTAATGATTGTTACCTCTACATGTGAATCTTAACTTACTTATCTTAAACGTAATAAAAAGCTTAACTTTGTTTGCTAACCCCATGTGTGAAGTGTTAAAAATACTCCCTCAGCCTACCTTCTCCAGCCTGATGGCACAACTCGACGTTGACTTTTTGGCTGTTTATACCTTTTCATTTGCACAGAGACTACTGAAAAGCTTTCTGCTGCCGATGGGACAGGCAGCTTTCCTGATTAGCCGCTCTACCTGATAACAGGCATAATTGTAGCTCCTGTGTGTTTTTAAGTATGTCTTGATCAGAATAAACTCAGATGCTGGCTGGTTCTGCTGATATGAATCACCCTTCAGATACTACATTGAGAGTGTCAGCTGAATTTTAAATAAGGAAATGCTACAAAAGCAAAAGCGGGATGTCATATTGCCAGCAGGCAAGTAAGTGTTTAAGGAGAAGAACACGGCTGTAGCATTTCCTATTTGGATCTTCTTTTTCTGTCAGAAATTCCAGTTCTTCCCTTGAAACCAGCAAGTTAAATGGCTCCCAATCTTCTTTAGTTGCTTTACCACCTGATGTTTTTGAAAATATTGTGGGTCGTGATACAGAATTTTAGAAAGACTAATCTTAAGTCTCTGTTACTTTTCATGGTGTTTGTACGGGTGTATAGAAATGCCAGTACAGTGTCTGTGGGCCACAGGTTGTAAGTCACTACTCTGGATAACTGGAATTAAGTTTGAATTGCATGAAAAGAAGCAAAGTCCTTTAAAGAACATATGTTGTTCACCCTATTAAGAAAGTTTTATTCTGTCATGCCTTGCTTTCATGAGAGAAGTCTGGAAAAATCTTTAAAAATAGGATTTAATTTTCAGCTATTTCAGAGCACGTATTTCTTCACATCTTTCTTAGTATTCTTAAATTTCCAGTATTTTGCTTTAGAGAAAGGGATTAAGAGGCTGAAGTAAATGCATTTCAATACACTTAAATTCTGAAGACTGTAATAAATTAGTTATTACGGCAGCTGATTGCGTATCCACAGCAAGTGAATAGTGACATAGAAGTAAAAAAAAAGCCTCAGTAATGAGTATGTGTCTATATCCTAGTCATCAACATCTGGGTTTCTGGAATGCATGTAACTGAGTGTTTGACAGTATAGCATCAGCTCTTACTTTCTCAATATATTCATCATAACTGTAGCATTTTCACTGTCTTCAGACGTTCCAAGGATAGACCAAAGCTTCCCATTTTTCATCTGTTAGTGATAGCTAAGTATTAATCCTCAGAGGGAGAAGCTGCTTTACCATTGCTAGAGATGTGCCTTGGATGTGCATTAACATTTTTGACCTCTTCAAGGTCAAAAATGGTAATGCACATCCAAGTATATCTGTCTTGTAAAATACATTACAGATGATAAATATTATATTTTATAATGTGACTTCTAGTGATCCAGAATAATTAGCTGGTATATATGGATTCTTACTACTGTTCCTTGTATGGGCCTTGCATTTGGAGGTCTCAGGAATAAGCACGTCATTGAAGATAGTTAATTGCATGTTCTCTGAGTCCATTAGCATATGATTTTAAGATCTTTTTTGCCTTTCTTGTTTTCTGAAAACACTGTCTACAGCAGTTGTGTATGTCCTGAAAAAATACGGGAAGGCCTTACTGTTTGTTTTTAATAGGTAGAGTACTTGTGGTTTTTTGTCTTTTTTTTTTTTTTTTAATCAAAAATTTTGATTTTAAGATGGAGTCCTTCTCTGTTGTGGAGTTTTCAGAGGTCTGTAGAGAAATAATTTGCTTCTTACTTGTGAAAAATTATTCCCTGTAGTCTTTCTGCAAATGAGAAGTAAATGGAGTTTATCCTCGTGTGAACAGCTACATACAGAGGCGTTTGCAACATAACCTCAGTAACAAAGACACTTGAATTTTGTATGCTAAGAATAAGTGTCAGGAATGTAGGAAAAAATCTCAAGGCAAAGGTCAGGCTGAAAGGCTAAAGGGAGTGTTTTGAATGTTAGTACTTTAAATGAGATGCTGCTCTATGTATTTCTCTACTCAGCATGTATATATACTTTTAACTTAAATAGCAGATACAAAGATACCTCCTCCTCCAATATTGGGATAAAATGTAAAAGGTAGTTAAGCCTGCACGTTGGACTTGAGAATCCAAGAAAACAAAGCTGTGAAGAGATGTTCACATTGGAAGCGGTACTGGAGGCTTGATATATCTTGCTAAACCCGGTCTTTGTAACTTGCCTCTTACAGAAATACGGAGTTGCAGAAGGAAGGCCTTTGACTGACCTCAAGGCTATGGCAAAGGCTGCTGGAGAGCAGTGTCCTTCATTCACGCCTTCTGGAGGAGAAACCCTGGATGAAGTACGGTATTTATTTATTTATTTGTGTGCTGCTTTCTAGGCCATTTCATCAGTGCAGATGCAGCTCTTGCGTACTTAGGAACATCTTATTGAGAGCTTAGTGCAACCAAAGGTAGTTATTTTCTAAGCTAAAAACACTACGTGACCTGACTGCGATGGCTGCCGAGTAGGGAATCTCTTTAGAACTAAACTAGTGATTCTGAGATTGACTCCTCAGGACGCTCTCGTTTGCGGAAGGCAATTACTCTCAGCCTCGGCTTTGGAGGGCAGAGGAGCTTTTACAGCGTTCAGTAACTTACCATGGATTGCTGAGGCTTGTCTGTGATGGACATTTGTCTTTTAATGGAAGTAGTTACATCTCAGATTTCTGAAAGCCGAAGTCTCATGCATTCTTCACAATGTCCTCTTCTGACCTTTCTCTTTAGGTAAGAGAACGTGCAAGGGATTTTTTTGAATTTCTGTGTCAGCTAGCTGTTGAATTGGAACAGAGAGAACAAGACATGCACGGTGCAGCAAGCAGAAGCACAAGAACATCTGAAGAACAGTTATTTTTCCCTTGGACAAACCATTGCGGTGATGCAGAACTTAGCTCTGATAATGGTGGAGCTTCTAAAATATTAGATGCCAATATATTAGTGGTGAGTCATGGAGCCTACATGAGGAACTGGATTGGTTATTTTGTTTCAGATCTCAACTGTACTTTACCAACAAATTTAACAAAGTCTCAGTTGTCTTCTGTCAGTCCCAATACAGGAGTTAGTCACTTCATTATAAAACTTGAAAATGGAAATTTGTTAAAACCTGAAATCACATGTGTTTGTCTTAATCTAGATTCTCACTTAGTGGATGTGGGAGCTGAATGCGTAGCTCCAAAAGTGTTTTAAGAGCCTTTGTAGGGGGAAGTGGTTTTAGATCACCAGTATTCTAAGCTTGGGAAAGGTATCTGTAGTAATTACTGAGATTGACTGGAGTAATTGACACTAAACTGCAAAATTGAAGACATGCAACTGCTTACCATCTTAAAATAACACAATTTGCATGGTCCTAGTGCCTGATAGAGGTTGGCACTGGAGAAATAACACAAATGTTCTTTATGAACAGAAACCTAATACTTCCAGTCACTTGCATATCTGCTTCTAGATGCATATTTTTTTAAACATTTCTTTTCATTAGCCCATAATTATTTTGGTTATCTTCAGGTAAAAGAGTTGGGGAGGGGAGAGGAATGGTACCTCAAAGGTGAGCTATACTGTATTCTTGTTTTATTAAAAAATACTGATTATAATATTAAACATACATGTTGTTTTAAAATAATTTTTTTGAATGCAATAGTGTAACCTAAAAAGGAGCCTTGCCTAGTGCAAAAGGTTTGGTACAGAGTCAGGGGACACGTTCCTGGCTCTGATACTGAATAGCTGTGAGACTCTGGGCAAATCTCTTTTCCATTTGTAGAATGGGGATGATGATACACCTACCTCACAGGAGTGTTTTGTAAGAAGTTATTGGTGTTGTTGAGACCTCTGTTGAAGAGCACTGTACACAAACATTAAAGTATTTATTTTTAACTGTAAGCAGGATGAGGAACTTCGTGTGCACATAGTTGAAATAATGGTCTCTTCTGAAAAGGAACCTTTATCAACAGGATGAGCTGTACCTGACTAGAATCCTTTTGTCAGTACACTTGATGGATGAGTATTTTTTGCCTAGAATTGGGCAAGTTTGATTGCTTGATGATTGCTTATTGTTGCTATTAGTACTGCATTCTTTCCCCACCGGGGTGTTTGTAGTGTTACTGTGTAAGGTTAGCTGATTTATGTTATTTATAACATCCATATACTTTTTCTTCATTTGCGTATTTTGAGCCTGATTAAAAAAAAATTAAAAAAATTAAAGGCTTCTGAATAGAACTCAATTTTGTCTGAATTTCTTTTGAGGTAAAAATCTCTGTTAATATTACTCTGTGAAGTTTTGCTCAGGTCCTATAACTTCCCCTTTTTTTTTTTTCTGAAAAACTCCAGGCTGGTCTTTTACTGTGGAAAAGAGCCCTTTTTAGGTCTGATGGATCGGTGCTATCCTGACTCGTACCTGGAAGAACCACTGATGTTAAAATGTTGCGGACATACTTAAATTGCTTGCAACTGTACAAAATTAACTGTTTGACTGAAGTTTAATTTTTTGGTAATTTTTAAAGATATGCTGTCCCTGTGTACTTTAAACTACTTGGCTTCTTTGCCTTGAAGCAGAGACTCAAGTTTTGAGAAGAAGACGAGGTTGCTGTTGTCTTCCTTTAACAGGCGGGTACCTATACTTACCTGCGGCCCTACTAAAAAAAGCAACAGAATTACTTAATCTGACTCTAGTGACTATACTTTGCTTCTTCCATTCCTGTGGCTGTGATTCAGTAGGAAAGTTCTCTTGATTCCTACTTGAACACAGAATGGGGATCTGCTTCCGTTCTCTGCGCTGTTCGTCCAATACCAGCACTGATAAAATTTAGAGGATGAAGTGGGAAGTGTTGAGCCCTGTGGTGACCAGAAGTAATGTTCTCCAGAACCTGGAAATGAATGTAAGGCTTTTTACCTGCAGTGGGGCATGTTTATCTAGCAAATAACCGTGAAACCTCTGCTGCTGCATCTGAAAACTAGTCCATAGAGAGGAAAGCAGCTTACCTGACGTGCAAAGATGGGTACTAGTAACTGGTGTCAGCAAGGATTGGTCTTTCAAGCTCTAACACGTTATATAATGTGAAGGACTGGATGCCCTTAAGTTGGGTTGACGAATTTAAACTGGAGTTTTATACCGAACTTCTTCATGGATAGACTAAACTTGTTACTTACTGATCAGCTGGTTTCCTTCCATTTCTTTATAGATGCTGAGGAAAACCGCTTCATTATGGCTCCTCTTTCCCCATATGAGGCAGTTCATAAATGTACAGGTATAGCTGGGCAAAGTTTTATGGTGAGAGGTTTTCCAGCAAACATGAAATCTTCATAATACAGAATCCTGGGAAACTTAAGATTTCTCAATAACATAAAAACAAGCTTTGGTCAAAATGGTTGTATTTCAAGTTTAATTTTATATAACCACCCTTTTTTTCAAAACAAAGGTATTCTTAAGCAAAGTGTGTCAGTGTTATTCAAAAGTAAAATTTTCTGAATTCAGGTCACAGTAATTTAGAAAATTACAAATTTTTTTTTTTTTTTTTTTTTGAGAAAGCCAGCCAACTGGAAAAATCCTTGGCTAGCCAACCATTATTGACATGCATGATTACCACACTTGCCAGTAAGGTGTTTGTGAAATTAAAAAGGGCCTGTTTCAAATCAAATCCTGAAGGGGGCCGACAAGAAAGCTGGAGAGGGACTTTTTACAAGCACATGTAGTGGTAGAACAAGGGATAATAGAGGGGAAATTTAGGTTAGATCTAAGGAAGAAATTCTTCACTATGAGGGTGGTGAGGCACTGGAACAGGTTGCCCAGAGAAAGTGTGGATGCCCCATCTCCGGAAGTGTTCAAGGCCAGGTTGGGTGGGGCTTTGAGCAACCTGGTCTGGTGGAAGGTGTCCCTGCCCATGGCAGGGGGGTTGGAGCTAGATGATCCCTTCCAACCCAAACCATTCTATGGTTCTAAGATTCTAAAAGTACAGAGATGACAGTGGTAACTTGAGGAACTGCTCAAGACTTGTTTAAAAGTGTCCATAGCTCTTTTTCACAAATAGAAGAATTCATTCCTAATATACTAAAGGAAATAAGCAGTGTACATCGGAAGGAAAAATGGGAATGTGGGCTTTTGCACAGACCCCTTGAGCTTCTTGTGAAATGTGTCTTCTTAGAGGCCTCCTGAATACTAAATTGATGATCACAGCCAAAGAAGGTAGCAAAGTTTTAATTATGACTACCAACAGAGTTAATGGCAGAGGGTGGGAGGGGAGTTCATTCTTAATTTGCTTGTCCCTGGTAGTGCCTGTTGATTTCAGGAAGACTAGGTACATAGCAGGAGACTGTCCTGCTGGTGTTTTAAAATAGCCTGAACTTTTCTGTAATTGCCATGTCCTGAATTTGGTCTGTCATTCCATTAATACTTCTTGGAGCCAGAGTAACTGAGTTGAAAATGTGCATCCTTCATCAGCTGGAAAACGAGCAGAGACCTGATACATTTTCCTCCCAAAGTCAGTAACTTTTGTCAAATGTTGCAAAACACACTAGTGATTTGTGTGCTTCCCTTAGTTTGAAAGGCTTCTTTTTCTTTCTTGCCTACCCTCAAGCAGCTTAATTAACATTTTGTTCTTGCTTACGAGGTAAATATCTTATGGGAACATATACTTACTTGTTAAATGCTCGGCTACTTCTCGGGTAATGCTCTTCCCATAAGAATTTTTGACTGTTCTTCTGTACCATGCTTTACCGTCTTTAATGTATCTGTAGGTGCTTAAAATTTAGACATGTCCTGAAAACACCATGTTTATGATTGTTTTCTTTAAGTTTTTGTTAACAAATTCTTTCATCTTGTGTTAACTGTTACATAGGGCAAGCAGAAGGTACAATAGCGTCTAACCATGACAAATATCACGGGGTGAAACCATTCAAGTCTTCAAAACAGCTCCTATGTTAATGAAGTAACATTTTTCAATGAAAAACTTGTAAGCCAGAATCTCCTAATTAAGGCTTTGTAAAACACACTAAATTGGTGCAAACACATCTGCCAGTGGCCAGGGGAGTATAAGCAGTCAAGCATGTTCTGTGTTGCCCTGTTGTATTCTTTCCCTATGTATCTGCACTTGACGTTGTTGGAGACGGGATACCGGCCTAGGTGATCTTACAGCTTGCCCTAATATTGTGACACTTTTTTCTTTCACCTTTGTTATATCAGGTGGAAGCTTCTCTATGCATTAAAAAGTAAATCAGTAATTTTGGAAGCTTCTGAAGTTAATTGTAAGCTTTTTTTTCTTTAAGTCTGTGTATAGTAATGGTCTTTTTTTTAAGTCTTTGAGTCAACACTGAGATTAAATCTTCCTTCTTGCTCTTTTAATAAAGTACATTTGTACAGTAATTCCTTACGGTTTATTGGGATCATGGGAAAGGAGAGCTGCAGTTATAGATGGTTCTGTTAGGAATAGTAGCAGAACATAAATATTTGAGGGATTACTCAGTAGTGGGCAATGAATGTTTTGTCCTTGTGAAATGCCAGTCTCTAATTAGCAGCAGGAGACAAGGCCTTAACTACAGGGTGTATTTTCAGCAGTAGCTGCCAAGATGTAAGAGAGGCTGTGGAAGCAGATCGAGCTGTTAAACACATTACCAGGATGCTAAAGATTTCAAGTGATAAGAAAAAGGTACATTCCTTTTGAATACCTCTGCAGAAAAATAATGCTAAAATAAATGTTAGAAACATCTCAACTTGCCCACATAATGGCCTCTAGTCAGATCCGAGAGAACCAATGTCTACTTTAAAATTACCTTTGAAACTGGTGAAGGTTAAAATAAAAGCTGTCTTGGCAGGCGTTTTCAGCTGAACAATGGGAGAAGAAAAGGGGACTGTGGAGATCAGCAAGATCAAGAGGAAACTCTGTCCCCTCCGTTCTAAGATAATGTTTTCTTTTGCTGAAGAGTCCAGTGGTATTCTGCTCCCAAAAAAGCGATGCTTCAAAAGGTAGGGAGTTGTGACCTTCTTTGATAAAGTCGTAGTTCTTGTTTAAGCAGTGCTTTACCAGGTCGGGCTTGACTTGGAAAAGGTGACAGGAGAGACAGAGAGGAGTTCGAAGTTCCCAGCATGGTATGGTAGCACACCTATTCCTCAGTTTTGGCTCCACCATCATCTCCTAGCAGATCTGCTAAACGTCCAGCAGTCATCAGGCAAGCACTTTGGCAGAGTGCTCTGGTAGTATCACAGTTTCCTTCCTCTGGAGTATCAGCCCTTTTTCAAGATAGTTGCTCTATTCCCACAGTCTCTGTTGGGTTTATGTTT